CTTTTGAAACATCTTGAGTACCTTTTAGGTCAACCTAAAACCTCTAAATCGAAGCAGTACAGTACAATTATTTTTTAGAAATAAAAAATCTTTTGAAACTAAAAGTTTTTATATACTCTTTAATTTTTTAACAAAAAATGAAAATTTAAGAAATTTGTAAAAAAAAAGTTATTTTACTTGTTTATAAAAAGATTTCGCTTTTCATCTTATGCTTTAGTTCTAATAAAAACACGTAGGAAATAAGTATTCCGTTGGATATTTATCTAACGTATATACCATTTATTATTTTAACCATTTATTATTGAACAAATGAAAAAAATTTCATTAAGTATTTGATTAACATAACAAGAAGTTATGTTTGTTGCATAAAATCATTCTTTACAATATAACTAAAAAATGCATATAATATAACTAAAAAATTCATCCTGTTTAAAAAGAGAATAGTCAAAAATTTATTTGTTAAACATCTAATTGAAAAAAAGAAGAAGAAAAGGAATGCATTGCAAAGTAATCATTTACAATAGTTTAAAAAAATAACTCGTCAATCAATTCTTTTTTATTCGTCCTCGAAATAAGATTTTTCGTATCCATAACCTTTATAATACGATCCACCATTACCTCCATATCCGCCATATCTATACCCTTTATCTGAAAAAAATAGTTTAAATTGTTTATTTAAATTTTTCTTAACATTTAAGTGTTTTTTGTTAATTTGGGAAAATAGAAATATTTTTAATAAAATTTACTGAATGAATTATATGTAGGATCTTCTTTTATAGCCGCTTTAGATTCGTCACTGTAGTAGTTGTTTCCATATCCGTACCCTTTATTGTATATGCCACCACTGTATCCACCGTAGCCACCGTATCCACTGTAACCATATCCTTTGTCTTAAATATTTTTAAAAGACACTTAGTGTGTTACAAAAACTTAAAAATAATGTTTTTTTTTTTTTTTTTTATTGAAAAATTACTTTAAAAACTATTTTAAATACGGTTTACTGTATGAATTATATGCTGGATCTTCTTTTACAGCCTTTTTTAATTCGTCACTGTAGTAGTTGTTTCCGTACCCGTACCCTTTGTTGTACAAACCTCCACCGTATCCTCCGTATCCACCGTAGCCATACCCGTTGTCTAAAAGATTTAATAAACTCAAGTGTGTAAATGTAAATAAAAACTTCAAAACAATATATATTTTATTAAAAAGTCTTTTTAACAAACAATTTAAACATAATTTACTGTATGAAGTGTAACTGGGATCTTCTTTCATAGCCATTTTTGATTCGTCACTGTAGTAGTTGTTTCCATATCCATAACCTTTGTTGTATAATCCACCACCATATCCTCCGTATCCCCCATATCCATATCCCTTGTCTAAAAAATTCAATAAATATTAATTGTGTAAATGTAAATTAAAATTTTAAAAATTGTCTTTTTAATTGAAAATCTTTTCAACGAATGTTTAAAATATGGTTTACTGTATGAGTTATAACTAGGGTCTTCTTTCATAGCCGCTTTCGTCTCGTCACTGTAGTAACTGTTTCCGTATCCATACCCTTTGTTGTATAATCCACCACCGTATGCTCCGTATCCATACCCCTTGTCTAAAAGATTTAAATTAAAGTTGTGTAAATACAACTTAAAATTAATAAATTGTTATTTTAATAGAAAACCGTTGTAAAAAATGTTTTAAATATGGTTTACTGTATGAATTATATGTTGGATCTTCTTTCACAGAAGTTTTAGATTCGTCACTATAGTAGTTGTTTCCATATCCGTACCCATTGTTGTATAATTCACCACCGTATCCTCCGTATCCATAGCCTTTAAATAAGTTATGAAACCATATAATATTAAAAGGTTTGTACGAACAATGTATTTTAAATAACAAAATTATAACAAAGTTATTAAAACCCAAAATAAAAAAGTTTCAATGATTGATAGGAGTTTAAGATTTAATGAAAACGAGGTTATAAATTTATGTTTTGAAATTTCTTTGTTGCTTTCAAATTCGGGTAATCAAGTCGAATTATTTTTGGAGAAAAGTTCAAAAATTATTTTTGATTAAAACTTGTACGCAGTCTCCTACATAAGTATCTGGATTTCGACATCCTTATAACAAACTAATAAATTATTAATTAATTGATAAAAATAGTTGATAAATATGATTTATCAACTATTTTTATAACTATTTTTATAACAAATACTGATTTAAAATTTTTATATTTACCGTTTCCTTTATTGTACGAACGTAGTATCTTTCCACTTCTTACATAAACATAAAGGTTTAGGAAAACCACCATAAACAATATATTTACTTTGTTCATATTTCAAGCAAGGTTGAATATGTTATACTTGAATAACACGTTCTATAACACTCAAATCATCGTCTATTTATGCGACACTATACTTCCTTGTTAGTGACGCAAATGAACAAACAAATTTGGAACTGAAATACAAAATCTTATTTACGTTATTTTTATTACTTGTTGCGGGTGTTTGTTGCTTTTTGATTGAATTTTTTCAGAGAGAGTTCAATGTTTTGACGTACAAGAATAAAGTTAATTACCGTTAATAGAATAATTTAAATGTAATATACATCTTTTAGTTTCTCTTTCATTTAATAACGATTGTAAGAAAAAACACTAACCGAAACTTATTAATCTATTATATAAGTATTGAAGATTTTTATTTTTTCTATTATTTGTTTGCATACTAAATGAATAACTTTTTAAGTTTTTATGCTTGATATTTTGCACTATGTTCTTTATCATTATATTATCTTTTTTTTTCAAAAACGCTATTTCCTTTTCTTCTATAATAAATGCCCTAAACGAATAAAATAAGATCAATATTTTTACATTTTATATAAATATGAAGGATCTCCGAGTCCTTATGTCGTCTATAACATGCAACGTATAATATCTTTAATTACTTAATGTAAAAGTAAATATAAAATTTATTTCCGTAAAGCTTCGGCCAAGGAGATAAGTTATAATACCCTGTTCAAATTGAGATATATAAAGGTTTAATAAATTGCAGAGAGAACTGCCCGTAGGATTGAACATTTTAGACGAATATCTTATAACTTTGATTTGGAAATTGAGAAGTCGGTTTTAAAAAGTCATTAAGTTAATTTTTGTTAACACAAAACTTTAGAATTGTTTTATCTTAAAATATTATTTTCCTAAAAGAGATTTATCTTTCTATTTTTTAAATTAATTGTAATAAAATCGGTAATGTTTTAGATGAAAATCTACATTTAAGTGTTTAATAAACAAATAGATTCCAACTATTCGTTTTTGAAAAGAATAAAACTTATATAATCATTGGATACAAAGTCTAATCTATACTATTTTATCAACCTAAGTGATAAAATTCGATAAAAAGTTTCACTTTATAATGCGATTAAATTTATGGCCATATATAATTTATGGCTATTCTTTGGTCGTAAACGAACCGAATTATTATTTTAAATTACAGTTGTTGCGTTTTAAAAAACAATGCATTTAGTACGTCACGTCTTCTAAGCGCGATAGTATTTCAAATATACATAAACAAACTGCAAATGAGATTGAATATTTTAAGGAAGACAGAATCTTGTTGGTACAGAGGTAGACACAGTGTGTTCAAGAAGACTTTCAATAATAACCATTACATTTCATGGCACAAAAACATGGGTATTCAATTTTTTTTTAATTGAATACCCATGTTTTTGTATATATATATATATATATATATATATATATATATATATATATATATATATATATATATATATATATATATATATATATATATATATATATATATATATATATATATATATGTATATATATATGTATATATATATATATATATATATATATGTATATATATATATATATATATATATATATATATATATATATATATATATATATATATATATATATATATATATATGTATATATATATATATATATATATATATATATATATATATATATATATATATATATATATATATGTATATATATACATATATATATGTATATATATATATACATATACAAATACAGAAATTGTAATTTATTGTGTTTTACTATAAAATCTTCAACCTGTAAATTTTTAACTTTTAATTTTAACTTGTAACATAAACTGAAGCCAACAATGTAAACGGGGCTCGGCGAAAAGACAATATACGTCTTCTTCTTTCTCCAGCCATTTATTTTACGTGTACGATTTTTTTTTTAGTTTAATTTTTATTAAACAGCAAAGAAAATAAATAAATAAATGAATATATCAAGATTTTTATTAAAAAAAAAGGTCTTTTAGAAAGAAAAAAAAAAGGAGGGGGTACGTGCTTCCTGCCTCCCCCCCCCCCGGTGTCGTTGGCTCTGTTAAACAAATGAATTAATTTAAAATGTTAATAATAAATAAAATGTTAAATATTAACAAAAAATACTTATCTGAAAGCAATAGTACAAAGAAAACTTTTATAAACATTAACAACATTATGACAGTCAGACCTCTAAGAGATTTTTAATACTTTCAATGCAGATTCTTTGCCAGATCTTGGTGTGACAGAGGTTTTTTTTTTAAATTTTTTCAAAAAAAGCTGCTCAAATTATACAATTATGTTCTTCTATATCAAATAAATAATAGTCAAGTATTATTTAAAAAAAACTACTTAGAGATTTTCTACAGACACTATCTTTAACAACGTGAGTAATTATTTTATAGTTTTCTATTTCCTTAGTAATAGAAAACAAAGAGTTTTTATTAGGTGGTGTTTGTTTCAAGTTGTGAGAAAGTTGCCTAAGGAGTGTTACCAGGAGAGAGTTACTAGTGGAGTACCTCAGGGTTCAGTTCTTGACCCAATACTATTTGTAATTAATATAAATGACTTAAATATTATTATACTAAATAAATTAGAACTTTGCAGATGATAGTAAAACCTAGTCAGCAATTACCAACCAAAGTAACATTAACCCAGTAGGCACCGGACCAAAAAAAGACGTCTTTTGAACGTTCAAAAGACGTCCAAAACGCTCAAAAGATAATCAATAGGTGTTCGGTACGTTTAAAAGACGTTCAAAAGACGTCTTTTTTATGTCCCGTGCCCTCTGGGAATGCTCTTCAAGAAGACTTGAATAAAATGTTAGACTGATCAAATAAGTGGTAGTTAAGTTCAATGGAGATCGGTGCAAAGTTATGCATATTGGTAAATTGAATCCTTAATTTAACTACAAATTAGAAGATATTTTATAGAAGACAGATATTGAAAGAAATTTAGGTGTTATAATATCAAATGACCTTAAATGAGAAAATCATGTTATCACTGTTGCGAATAAAGATAATCTAGTGTTAGATTTTATAAAAAATGCATTTAACCATCTTAATGTTGCAATATTAAAGTTGTTATACAAGTCAACTATTAGGTCACTGCTTGAATATGCAGCATAAGTATAATTACCTATTATTGGTTAGAAAATTACTACGTAGATCGAATAGGATTGAAACACTGAAAGGCATCTGTTGTGAAGAAAGGAGAAAAATATTAGGTTTACCAACGTTTCAATAAAGAAGAAGAAGAGGTGACTCGATAGAAATGTTTAAAATATAAAATACAACTGAATATATTAGGTTTAAGGAACCTTTGAAATTTTTTAGTGACATGCCCAAAAATCGTCACAATAAAAGAATTCATCAAGAATTTTCTAAAGAATTGCAGGTTTTACTTTTTAACAAATTGAGAGGCAGACAATTAGAATTTTATATGAAAAGATGCAATCGATTCTATAAATAAAAATACATTTAAAAAACAGAATAGAGAAAATTCTAAACTTTTAATACCAAAATATATTTATAAACTATTTTTATTAAAAAAATCTTACATTTAGGGGCTGTTATAAAAATATTATATTTGTTACATTAAATAGTTTGTACAGCATTTATATAAATATATATATATATATATATATATATATATATATATATATATATATATATATATATATATATATATATACATATATATATATATATATATATATATATATATATATATATATATATATATATATATATATATATATATATATATATATATATATATATATATATATATATATATATATATATATATATATATATATATATATATATATATATATATATATATATATTATAATCTAAATATATTATAATCTAAATATAGATATTTATATATATTAATCTGAATATAGATATTTAAAACTTAAAAAAGTATCATTCGCTTTGAATTTTTTTTTTTAAACTAGTCTGAACGTGGAGAAATAATTACTCAAAGCTGTAAAAAGATAGGCCCTTACAAAAAAACCACGATTGCACGAGTAATTAAAAAAAATATTTTATTTTCAAATATTGCTAAATATTATTTAAAGTAACTCAATATTTATCACCAATAATTAAACATTTTTTTTTAAAGTGAATATTCGTACAAAACAGAATGTTTTATCAATAAGGTAAACGGTCTATTAAACGGCCGTATTTAATAATTTTACAAAAAAAACTTTTTCTCTACTAAAACTGATTTTTTATTCATTGTAGTCAATTCATAGCGTTCTCTACTAATAGACCCTTACAAAAAAACCACAATTGCACGATAAGAACATCGTGCAATTGTGGTTTATTGAAGTTATATATATTTTTATTATCTGACATACATAAGTCAAGAACATATATTATTAGAAAGCAGTTGACAGTTTTTAAGGTTTCGCCCCCCTCTTTATTTTATTCCTAGAATCGCCCCTTGGTAGACATTGGTTTGTTTAATCGTTAATCCCCGTAATGGACTCTTTAAACGTCATATTTCATAATAAAATAAATAAAACTATAACAATTAGTTTTGTATTTGTTCAGAAAATTATTTTTCGAAGAGTGTATTTGTTACTGATTTTTGAATTGAAGAGACTTTTATAGACTAAGGAGATGAAAAAATGAAACAGTTTTTCCACATATAAACAAAACATAAACTTTAACAATTGTTGAGTTCATATATATATTTAAAATTTTTATTTCAATAAAATATAGTTTGTCATGAGAAAAACGATTAGCAAAGCTAATTATGCAAGTTGCACGTTTCTGACGGCGATAAAGGTAGTGTAATTTACTTTTTCAGTACTTCCCTAGGCAGTAGCATAGTACTTCCCCAGGCAGTAGCATAGTACTTCCCCAGGCAGTAGCATAGTACTTCCCCAGGCAGTAGCATAGTACTTCTCCAGGCAGTAGCATAGTACTTCCCCAGGAAGTAGCATAGTACTTCCCCAGGCAGTAGCATAGTACTTCCCCAGGCAGTAGCATAGTACTTCCCCAGGCAGTAGCATAGTACTTTCCCAGGCAGTAGCATAGTACTTCCCCAGGCAGTAGCATAGTTTATGTTGCTGTGAGTAAATCAAAAATAGAGTTGTCTTAATTTTTTTTTTTTTTGAGATAAGTTTGAGCTTTGTATAAAACTCCAATATTTTCAGAGACT